TGAGGTCTCTTCCAACTCTTTGATTCTATATGCCTGTGCGAAACATGGACACCACACCTGGAAGATAATCATACTCCCTTAAGAAAGTAAGTATGGTAAGTTTCCCAAGACCCTGAGTTTTGTCTTCCAAAGAGTCAACTGCAAGACAAAACATAGGACCTCCCATAATTGGCATTACAGTTCAAGTCTTGATCCTTTTTGGAGAAGAGCAAACTTTCAGGTGGCAACTTGGTGTTGTTTGGCAGGAGGAGAGAAGGCTTTGGAGCTCCACCTCTCCATTCATTGGGATGAAGGGCAAGGGAAAGTGTGCCCTTGGTTGGATAGATAGTGCCCCCTTCTCTCCCTCCCTCCCTCTCTCTTGTCTTTCTCTGCTTGCCTTCCTGGTAAGATGCCCTTGTTGCGTAAGGCCGGGCCCGCCTCCCCACTGGGGGAATTTCACTCTCTGAGATCAGATCCCCGCCTCGTCCAGCCCTTCCTTTTCCCCTCCCTCGGGTCTGCAGGCGATGTGCTATAAATCCCCCCTGCCACCAGGCACCAGCTGGCAGAAAGCAGGGGACTTATCGCGGGGTCATAGCGCTGCCCCCAGTTGGGTGCCTTGAGGGAAGATGCTGGACGTAGACTACACACAGTGAGTGGAAGGGAACAAGTGGTTCGGGGTTGTTTTTTTTTGGAAGAGTTCTGGGTCTGCCCCATAACAAAGTAGCCTCTGAACATGTGCAGAGTGGCTGCAGCTACTCTGTAGAATGAATGCATTCGGACCACCATGGCTCAATGCTATAGGATCCGGGGAGTTGTAGTTTGACAAGGTCTGCTGAGAAGCGCCTTTGCAAACTACAAATCCCAGGACACTCATATTTCTTATCAAATACAAGGGAGATATGGGAGAGAGAGAAGGTGGCTTAGGGATCTTCTATACTGCCCTATAATCCACATTATTAGTTTTGAACTGGATTATATGAGTCTACACTGCTGTACAATCCGCATTATCTACTTTGAACTGGATTATATGAGTCTACCCTGCCATACAATCCCCTTTATCTGCTTTGGATTGGATTATATGAGTCTTCACTATTGTACAATCCCTTTTATCTGCTTTTAATGGGATTATATTAATCTACAGTGCCATATAATCCACATTATCTGCATTGAAATTGGATTATATAAGTCTACCCTGCCATATAATCCACATTATCTGCTTTGAACTGGATTATATGAGTCTTCCCTGCCATATAATCCACATTATCAGTTTTGAACTCGATTATGCCATATAATCCACATTATCTGTTTTGAATTTGATTATATGAGTCTACCCTGCCATATAATCCCCTTTATCTGCTTTGAATCGAATTATATGAGACTACCCTGCCATATAATCCACATTACCTGCATTGAAATTGGATTATATGAGTCTACCCTGCTGTATAATCTACATTATCTGCTTTGAACTGGATTATACGAATCTACCCTACCGTATAATCAACATTATCTGATTTTAACTGGATTATATGAGTCTACACTGCCGTACAATCCACATTATCTGCTTTTAACTGGATTATATGAGTCTACACTGCCATATAATCTGCATTATCTGCTTTGAATTGGATTTTATAAATCTACACTGCCGTATAATCCACATTATCTGCTTTGAAGATGATTGTATGAGACTACATTGCCATTTAATCCACATTATCTGCTTTGAATTAGATTATGTGAGTCTATACTGCCATATAATCAGCATTATATGCTTTGAACTGGATTATATGAGTCCACACTGTAGTGTTATCCAGTCCAAAGCAGATCTTCTGGATTTTATATGGCAGTATAAGGGGCCGTAGAACAGGGTTGAAGTGTAGAATTGATGCAGTTTGATACCACTTTAACTAGCCTGGCTCAAGGAGAGTTGGTAGTTTTACCAGATCTTTAGCTGTCTCTACCAAAGAGTACTGGGGGCATCAACAAACTACCAACTCCTAGATTTCCTTAGCATTGAGCCATGGCAGTTAAAGAAGCGTCAAACCCACATTAATTCTACAGTGTAGACCACATGGTGGTCTCTGCAGAAGACCTCCATTCTGCCCTCAAATGCAGAAGGCATTCGGAATGGGGTGATTCCAATAGCGAAGGAAAAAAAGGGAGGGATTGATAATAAGCTGGACTCCTGAAAACTTTTGTGTCCTAATTACTTGGTTGAAAATGAGAATCTTCTTGAGTTATAAACATGAGACTTCAGCTCCAGGGCCTTATAATTTCGAAATACTTTTAAGAAGCACCATCTAAATAACAACTTTGTAAGTTATGCACGACTATACAAGGCTATTTAAATAATTAAAGGTAAAGGTTTTCCCCTGACATTAAATCCAGTTGTGTCCTACTCTGGGTGGTGGTGCTCATTTCCATTTCTAAGCCGAAGAGCCGGCGTTGTCCGTAGACACCTCCAAGGTCATGTGGCCAGC